CCCACACTGGATCCTTCCTTCGGTGCGTGCGCGGCTTTGGGAGTCGGGCAGGGAAAACCGTTGCTCCCTCCGGTAAGTAGGAGGTTGCTGGCGTTGGAGGTGACGCTGTTGAGGACAGAGGATGCAGACAAGGATAAGCTCCGGCCCAACCCAACGAAGCTTTGCGACGGAATCTGTGTATGATCCTGCTGCGGCTCTTCCTGCTCTTGGACATGTTCGACCCTCTCATAAAGAGCCGAGTCCCCCCACATCAGGGAGTTGCCGGGCTGGGGAGGTGTGGTCTGTACACTGCCCTCAGTGGACGAAGAAGACGATTTATAGAAGCCCATTTCCTCACTACCCCTTTTCCTCTTCCTTCTCCTCCTCTGTGCTAGTGATTGATGGAGAGGGGTCGAGTGTGGGTGCGTGGCTGCATGCAAGATCGAAGGGGAAGCCAGTCATTCACCTCTCGGAGATCATTTGCTCGAGCGATACTCCAAGGATATCGTAATCCAACTATCCAGGCCCTTCATCATTGGCAGAGCAGAGAACAAGGAGGGGACAGGAGTACCCTATGTACAAGAAATCAATGACATTGTGCTTTCACGAGTCTTCTAGACCATGTGAGGCGGCGCACGTGGCACGGCAACTAGCACAATTGCCGCCCTTGACTACATTCGTAACCTCGTTAGTCAAGTATCTTGTCCTGTCCCTCCGACCCACCACGACCGCGACAGTACCGCGTCCACATGTCATGACATATAGGAAACCATACAAAGAAAAATTCAACACGCCATTCGTCACTTTGGCCGACAAGGCGCGCGTCCCGAAGACCGGTGCCCAAGGTTTTTTCCGACGCTGACTTGAGGTACCCTCCGCGAAGCTTTGCAAGGGCAATGGGCGATCCGATCCGTTGCCCCTGTCGCAGTGAGACGAGCCAAAGGAATGCCGCAAAGATGAGCGCCATATCTCCCCAAGGCAACAACCGTCCTCAATTTGCAGTTTTTATGTCAATAGAATGGCCTTGGGCGGTTGATACCCCGAATGGAACGATTTTCAAGAAAAAGAAGCATTACTACTAGTGGAACACCGTAGCAACCTCCTCCCGCCAAGTTTCTACATGTCCTAGCAAACCATGCAAAATAGACTTCTGTACATCATGCCCTTGCTCTCTTTCAAGCTTTAAAAGCAGATGCGGAGTCGGGCTACGCAAAGTTATCCCTGTGGAGATGGCAATGCCTTTTCATGCTCCTCTCGATCACTGCAGTTTCCATTGGTAGGTTTTGGGCAACGAGCAGAGCACTTGGTCTGTGAAAGTTTCCAAACATGACAGCCCTTCACTGCATCTATCTCCTTTTGGAAATGCTAATCAGCGTGAGACGCCGGACTGATCCTGCAAGCGCACTCCTTTGCAGCCATGGCTGGTATCATCTGGTATTTCAGGGGCGTGGAAATTGCTATAGTTGCTTTCGCAGGAACAGAAAGGAAAGACAAGACAATTCTCACATCGCGCCCCTTCAGCCCTTTTAATCCCCCTTGGCATCATCCCTTCCAAGCACAAAGCCTCCGATCACTTCCTTTTCCGCGAACTTGAGGTACCAATCCATCCGCATGGCCCCCACCAATACGGCATTCCTCAGCCACACGCCCACTGGAGTCCGCGCGTCCAAGAACCAGCCCATGACCCTACTCGACTCCACTATCCGCTTCGTTCGTTCCCGCCGCCGGGCATAAAAAGAACTCAAGGCGGCTTCCACGTGCCGAAAGTCGTGCGCCTCCAGGGCATCGGCCAGGACCACGGCGTCCTCCAGTGCCATGTTCGCACCCTGTCCGACATGCGGCAAGGTAGCATGCGCCGCGTCACCAATTAGAACCAGGCGATCCTTGTGCCAGTACGCCTTCTCCTTGCGGGAGAAGAGCCCAAAATGGAGCAATCGGGCGTCGGATGTACGATCCAGCAAGTCCTGGATAACGGAGATGGTGGCAACTTTCGCCCCAGAATTCCTACGTTCGTCAAGGTATGCCTGCACCTCCTTGCGGACTGTCCCTTCAGCGAGAGCCCATTCCTTGCGCATCGGAGGCGTTTGCGTGGGATAGCTCAGTTTCCACACCAATTTTTTCTCCGAGCCTGCCCCCCCGGCCACGAGGAAGAGTTTGATGGGCCCAAGGACCTGGACGATGGCCGCAGGGTGATCAATGAGACCTGCCAATTGAGTCGTGTCTGCGGGTGGCAAAGATTGCGGGCCTTTCTGAAAGTTGTCGATGACACCAAAAAAAATAGAAGAGCCTGTGTATATGGGAGGATCCATCTCCTTGCCCAGCACCAAGGGGGCCAACGTGCTGTGAATGCCGTCTGCTCCTACCACCAAATCGGTCTCATGGGTTTTTCCCGAGGCCAATGTGACAATAATTTTCCCCGTTCCAGGACGTTCCTCCACGTTTGTTACAGCTTCGCCGCAATGAAGGCTTTTGCTTTTTCGAAGGGGTTCGGCCATCATATTTACTAAACCTCCCCTCAACGTTCCTGTGATAGGCATCTTGTATTTTTCATACAAACGCCAGGGGTAATCAGAGCGGACCAGCACTCGGTCTTCGTTGCAGAGGATGTGTTCACGAATAGGGGTGGACACGTCCAACACCATCTCATGAGAGAACCCCAGCGCGTGCAGACATCGTTGGCCGTTGGGACTCAAGCCCGTACCCGCTCCCCGTTGTCGATCCAATTGTGACGCACGTTCGTATACAGTGACATTTATACCCTTGAGTCGAAGGGCATTAGCAACCGCAAGCCCCGCGATGCCCGCGCCAACCACTACGACGTCCTGAATTTTGGGTTCATGGCCATCGGTCTGGACGTCGGGCTTTCGAGGTGAAAAAGCCATGCAAATATGAAGATGCCTAAAAAGGGGAATGCATGAGACAGCGGCAATTTTTCTTGGAGATAGAGGTGGATGTGAGTACCCCAGTTTGGCGGCTTGTGTGTGGGCCATGCTATTTCATAGCTATCGCTTCTTGAGCGAACGCGGATACTGCTGCGCTCGCTTAAGCAGGCTTTAGTGTGCATGTTGCTCCACTAGTAATCATTCATTCAGAACGAAACTTCACCTCCGTTCGCAAGACCGGTCAGCCAACCGCTTCGATTGATGCATGTTGTTGCTTAGATGCGTGGTTGGTTGTTCAAAGTTTATTTCCTCGACGCAATCTGCACAGGAAAAGCGTCTCCTCGCTTCCCTTCGGCTTCTGGTGAGTCCGCCTGGATTCATTTAGCCCCCGACACCAAACTTAATTTTCGTCCGAGGCCAAAATGGAAACTCATCCGCCCATCGCAGCGTCGTTATTTTTTATCTCGGCTGCCACTGCAACGACGCTGGCCCTTTACAGCCGGAAGCACAAAAAAGTCGCATTTTTCCGCGGCCCCGACATGTTGCATCCACCTCCTGCCTCATCAGAGGAAGGCGGTCAGGCCCCCTCCGGGGCCAAAGTAATCAAATACAAGTCGGTCAAAGACTCGAAACTTTCCTCTGAACTCAGCATCAAAGACCTGGAGTGTGCGCACATCCACCAGGCCAACCTGCTGGAGATCCCTAACCTGGGAAAGACTTTCAAAGGTGCCCACGTCCAGAATCTTTCTCAGATGAGCGGAACAACCTCGGGAGAATCGATTGCGTACAACAAATTGCTGGGCCACCAAGACGGGATTATTGCTGATATTGTCCGACGGGAGGGTTTGCCTCCTGAGACGAAAGTTTACGTCCGCGCGGGTCCGCGCAAAGAGCTCCATTTCGAGCCTGAGAAGGTGCGCGCGGCCATAGTCACGTGTGGAGGCCTCTGCCCCGGGCTCAATAATGTCATCAGGGAGCTTGTCAATTCGCTTTTTCATCTCTACAGGGCCCAGGTGAGTCTCATGGACGGGTAGGGAGGGTGCATGTATGTCCGTTTATGGGACGCGTGATATCCGGAGGCACACCCCACGCACTGTCTCACTCTTTTGACTAGTAAAGGGGCATGCTGGCCCGTCGTATGTACCAAACGGTTTGATGCATCTTTCACTCAAGGGCCCATATTTCCTTACCTTGTTCCTTCGTCCCTGCGATCCCCTTTTCCCCCTCGTCCCCTCCCTCTTTTTGAATGCCCAGTCGGGCGTGTACGGGATCCGCGGAGGGTTCTCCGGCTTCCATGACGCGCACCGTCTGCCCATCATGCTCACCCCGGAGCTCGTGGATCAGATCCATCACGAGGGAGGGACGATCTTGGGGTCCTCCCGGGGCGGGTTCGATATCGACAAGATCATCCACTTCCTGGAAGAGAAGCAAATTTGCCAGCTGTACATTATTGGCGGGGACGGGACGCACCGTGGAGCGAACAAGATCGGGGAGGAGTGCCTGAAGCGAGGCCTGAACATCGCCGTGGTGGGCATCCCCAAGACCATCGACAACGACGTGGACTTGATCGACCGATCCTTCGGGTTCCAGACCTCGGTGGAGGCAGCGCAGGCGGCGATCCGATGCGCCAAGACGGAGGCGATTTGCAACTTGCCGAACGGGATCGGGGTGGTGAAGCTGATGGGCCGCTCGGCCGGTTTCATCGCGGTGCATGCCACGTTGGCGAGCGGGGACGTGGATTTGTGTCTGATCCCGGAGGTGCCCATAGTCCTGGAGGGAGAGCGGGGTTGTCTGCCCCATTTGGCCCAGCGCGTGCAACAAAAAGGGCACGCGGTGGTGGTGGTGGCGGAAGGGGCGGGGGAGGAGCTGTTAGGCCAGTCGGCGGAAAAGGACGCGAGCGGGAACAAGAAACTCCCGGCCATCGGCCAGTTCTTGAAGGAGAAGATCGGGATCTACTTCAAGTCCCAGGGGCAGCCGTCCACGGTCAAGTACATCGACCCTTCCTACATGGTCCGCTCCGTCCCCGCCAATGCCGCCGACTCCATCTACTGCTCCCTCCTCGCCCAGAACGCGGTCCACGGTGCCATGGCGGGCTTTACTCAGTTCACGGTGGGCCTCTGCAACAACCGGCTCGTTTACTTGCCCATCCCCCTGGTGGTGGCGACCAGCCCTCGAGTCATGGATCCCGTGGGTCGGACCTGGGAGAGGGTCTTAAGTGTGACGCGCCAGCCCAACACGGCCATACAGCTGGG